ATTTTTTTTTTTTTTTTTTTTTTTTTACATTCTAATTATGCATATACATTCACATTAGGGTGTGGGCATTTAATAATCAATGCCAATTACTATTTCATTTATTCGTTCAAAAGTGCAAAATAAGCAAACTCATCTTTTCAGAGAATGTCATCCCACTTCATTGTCAAGGCAGACACATTGAATTAGTTTGCGATTTATCTCAAAAAAGAGTCTTGAGAATTTATTTGTCATGGTTTCTGCTGCACACCAAATTTGCAAGCTCAGTTACATTTGAACGTTCACTAATACATTACATTTGATTAGGATCGGAGAACGGGAGAAGAAATGAGGAAGCACTGTAAGGAAGTACAGAAACTCCACTCATTAAATTGTCGATTCAGAAGAAACCCTTCAGGAAAAATGACTTTTCCAGCTTCCAAGCACCTTCCAGGAAACCAGCAAGAAATCATAAACCCCTAATTCTTAGCTGCTAAGTTCCATTTGTAAATTACAATATACAATCTACTCCTAACACTTCTCACTAAGACAAGACACGAATCACCTATAGTGCATTATACACGCTAAAAAAGGTGTGCAAGAAATGAAGATTCAAGCAACTTACATTGCTCATAATTACGCGTTCCAACAAGATTAAACAATATGTAAAACTTGAGATCACATGTGAGCTGGATCACTCAACTACTCTTTCCAATCTTGATTTCTGGAATCATATTCAATCCGTGTCAAGATTTACAACATGTCTAGATTCATTGAATTTAGGTATAAGAATATTCGATAATATCTCATAATGTTCCCTACTTCAATGTTGAATATTTTATATGAACTGGTAGAACAGTTGATAATATAACAATCAGCGTTTGCAGCATCATACACCACATTCAAATTGACTTTTCTAAATGGAAATTAAATCTCATTTATCAAACTCCTCTAAACGAAACAAAAGTAGACTTGCGGAATCAAACAACAAACACACTTTACCAGAAGGCATGTTGAAATGGACACATTTTTTACCAATATCTATGCTACACAGACTGAGACATACTGAATCTGGTGTTGGATTTACTATATATGTTGTCCTTAAGATAACACAATTTACTATATGTTCTTTTCAATCTTGATAACACAATCTCCATTCGGAACTTCAAAGATATTACTACTATATTCCTCAAGGAACACAATAAGTCACAAATGTAAAGATCAAACCCGAGCTTCCAACTTAGCTATATACTTTTGTAAAGATAATTGTTCTACTTCAATGCATGCAAGATGTAAATGATGTGATATAGATGTTAATAACAAATATAGCTTAAGTTGCTTTACAAGTGATTCATAGTTCTTTACTTGATCTGCCATTTCTCCATCTTGTGCATAACATGGCAGAGGACAATGGAATGGTAGGATAGTTGGAATTTTGAGAAATATGAACTATTACCCCTAAGTTTGCTTGGAAACATGTTGTAAAAAGGGATGGGGGAGGTTAAGGAGATAGGTGTGCTAAGGTTAGGGCTGTTCAGCTTTAGGGGTTTTGATTTGTTTGTACATATTTTTTCCCTTGGTAATTAAAATTTGACTAATTACCAAAAAAAAAAAAAAAAAAAAAAAAAAAAAAAAAAAAAAAAAAACGAACAGAACAGCCGGTTTTGTAAGGGGTGGACCAAATATCTCCATCAATGGAAGTGTGAAATAGCAAAAACAAAGGTAAGATCGATCAGACGGATGGGATCCCTCCACTCTTAAGCAGAAGTTTCAAGATCGAGTCCTGGGAATGCAGAAACCCCTGATAGGAGCGCTTCTCATTAAATGATCCCTACGAGGCACTAATCCAGATTCCAGATTCCAGATTAGCTGGACCAGTTGGTTCCGAATACCAGATGCTTATACCAAAGTAAGATATGATAGATTTCTTTTGTAATCAACATTGAATTGCAGAAGTCATTGCTAAAGCTTTCCCATTAAATCTTTATCAGCATTCAGCTTACAAATTCAACATCAAACATTTCGTGCAACTACTTAAATCATGGGGCAACCAAAAACTTCTCAAGAAACAAAAGCTTCATTTCCAAATCGAAAGAGCAGAACATTCAAAACTGCCAACTCTTATTCAGCTTCCCTATTGATCATGATTTAATACCAACGGAAAATTAATTGCTGAATCTAGAGAATACAACAAGGATCAATCCAAGGGAAGTAACAGCAATACAAGAGTAAGTAACACCCTGAACGCGAACAAAAAACAAGTTCAATTGCTTAGCAGCCTGGAGAGTAAGAGTCAAAATCTGCAGCCTACCTTGTTCTTCCATTTTCCTAAAAAAGTAAATGGGCTTCAGCGCTCGCCTCAACATGAATGCAAGAGAAAATGGTAACCCAAAAGCCAAGAAACTCTGTATTGAGATCTCGGGAATTGGGGAGGACTGAGTCCTGTAAGTGATCCAAGCTCCTAAACCAAGCTGTACAAGCCCAAGTACAGCAAATCCTTCGCTCAAACTGTACATTGTTTTAAGCATTTTATCAAGCACTTCACGGGTCTCATTTCCAAGTGGTGTAACGTCACGCTCAACAGTTGGTCCTGTGATCTCCTGGTGCTTAAATTCAGGGGTTTGACTTGGATACTCACTAGCGATTTTAGGGTTTCCACCATCACTAGATGAAAAGTATCTCGGTAGAAATCCTTGAACTTGAAATTTGGGGGTTTTATAATTAATTTGATTTTGGGAAAGTGATATATTGGGTTTAATAGAGTTTTGAATTGTGCCAAGAAATGGTAGCTGACTTTGACTCTGGACAAAAGGAGTTGATCTGATATAGGAATTGGAGAAGGTTGAAAATTTTGTGTTTGTTTTGGGATGCCTGAGGAATGAAAGTGGAGAAGAAAAAGAAGAAGGATTTTTAAGAAGTTCGGTTGTAAATCTGCGAGTTATTGTAGACGCCATAATAGCTGCAGAAGCAGAAAGGGAAAAGAGGAGATCAACGAGGAGCACAAGGTTTTACATTAAGCCATGGATTTTAGTCAATGGCTGCTTTGCCCGCGTTTTGCGTTTATTGCATTTTCAGAGAATGGGCCAAACTTTTGCTTCTCTTTTCTGGCCCAAGTTAAGAGTCCAGTTAATGAATGGGCAAAATTGGTCGACCGAAATAAATTGTATTGCTAGTTAAAATATATAATATAAGTATATATATAAAAAATATGTATTTTATCAGCTACTTCATTATTTTTGGGAGCAGCTAAAAATATATATTTTTGTTAATGAATGTCAGCCTTGTTATGATCGGCTTATGATGTATAGAGGCCTAAGCCCAAATTAGTGAAATTGTGTAACAATCCCAAAAGTAATTTACCCAAATCAGAAAGTGAAATTGGTTAAAAATTGCATAAATAACTCGTGTTACACGTTTTAAACTGTAAGGGGTTGTTTGATCTGAAGTATAAAAAAGTTTAATTCCGTATAAAGTTCCATATTACTCGTATAACGTTTACTTTTCTAAGTAAAATTTTGATGGTTTACTTCCATTCGCTAATACAGAAACTAACTAATTTACTTACTTTAAGTAAACTTTGATGGCTTACATCCAATTTTTAGTAATCAGAAAGGTATTAAAAGTGATATACTTTCCTATTTACGCACGATTTTGGGAAGATAAAAGCTTAAAGGAAATAGCTCATTACACTCAACGTTTTCTTTACTCTCCAATTTTATTTCTATTTCTCTTTACCGCACAAAGGAAATGTAAATCGTTACACTGAACTTTTCCTTTTACTCTTTCAGTTCCCTCCTCTTTTAACTCAACCCAAACATGGTATAAAGTGCCAAGGGCTGATTCCCAAGAATAGGAAAATCAATACAAGCAACGTAACTGGCAACATTTTTTTACACTTTCATCCAAATTTATTTGATTAAATCCACCTTTGAATAATCACTTATACTTCAACTACGACTGTCTCAAACATTATATCTTTTGGCAAGCGGATTTCTAAAGAGATTGTAATAAGTTAGTAATAACATTCGAAAGACAAAAGTCTTGAATTTTTTTGTTAAACAGTGCACAACTATCATGTTCTAATATAGGGAATGTCATATAAGCTGATTAATAGTAGCAGAATAGAATAGAAGCAACTTTTCGATTAGCAAGAAAATTATGTAATCAATCCTAAGTCTTATATATCTCCAACATGTCAAGTGCCGGTATTAAACAAACTGCACGTCGAAATAGGTGTTGTAGTTAAAGTGGACTAGGTAAATGAACAATATAGAATATTGTGGAGTGTAAGGACTCTTAACTTTGCAATTTAATCAATCAAACTTGATAAGTTTACTACTGATATTTATTTATTTCTTTCAAGTGTAGAGGTGGTCCAATCTACTAAGTCTTCCTTTTTCAGTTGCGTGATAACCGTTCAAGCTAGAGTTTTGTGTATAGCATTAAAGATATTAATTGAAAAGCACTAGCATATTGTGAGACTATATAAGAAAGGGAAATGGGATGGGTTGTCATGTTATTTGGTAGGTCACTAAACAACCACCTTTGAGCTCACTTATCTTTGTTTACAATATATAATGGAGCATTTTTTTTCTCCCTCATGACTTCATAGCATAGTCCCATCTTCAACACCTCACTCAATTTCCCTTCAATTCCAAGAAAAGATTATCACATCATTAAAAGAAATTACCCTTCATTACAATTTAGTCTAGCTCAAGATCAAGTTAAAATGTACACAACAAAAAAAGAATCCTAAATAGAAAAAGAAGCTTACATCTTGTACATATGAATTTTCATTTCCTAATTAAAATTGGTAAAAGACAATAAAATTGATCCCAACAAAAAGAAAGGGAGGGGGGTTGCTAACTGGTTCAATGAGCAAAATGGAATTTGAATTTGTTAAATGGACATGTTGAACAGGGAGCCGAGGGTCTATCGGAAACGATTTTTTTATCAACAAAAGGTAGGGGCTAGGTCTGCGTAGACTCTACCCTCTCTAGATCCACTTATGGGACTACACGGGCTATATCACTATATTGTTGTTGGGCAGGTTGAATAGGGATCAAACAAATTTGGGTTGAATATTGCCACCACTAAGTTACTACTGAGAATTTAAACACTTCAAACATGTAAAGAATCAATGAATCTGTACACTTGTGAACCTTAAATGAAATTCCCAATGATTAATTGGAAATAAGGCCCAGTAGCTGCTCATGTTTGTGACTGTTTTCCATCCACCATTGCTGGAAACCAATATTCTCACTGCTAGAATCCAACATATTCTCTTCTTCAACAGGAGCAGGCAAGTTTAGATCCAAGAAATTTCTGATTTCTGGTATTGGTTTCTGTACTATTTCAACAGCTTGGTTATTGTTTCTTTTGGCCTCAGCAATCAAATGGGATCTCTTGTGACCACCTAAAGCTTGACCTGATGAGAAAATCTTGAAACAAATTGGACACTCATGATTCTTTAGCTTCTTGGATCCAGAATTGGTCTCAATCTTTTCATTTATTGCACTTTCACTGCTGCAGTTTTTGATGAGTTTGATATGATCTACACCTTTATTTTGCAAGTGCTCAATATCAATACTGCTATTTTCACCTTTGATATTTTTGTGGCTTGCCCTGTGACCTCCTAGTGCTTGGTAGGAATGGAAACTCTTATTGCAAGTAGTACACTCAAATTTTATCTTCTTGGAATTGAAACCCTCAGTTAAATCACTCCTTTTGACTAACTTGTTAGCAAATTCAACTTCAAACTCTTCAACAACTCTGTTTTCATTGTCCACTTTAATCTTCTTCTTTTTCTCATCATCAGTTGGAACTTGTGATTTGTCCCTTTTTTGACCATTTGACTTGGAGCTCTCACCTTGTTCTGTTTTCCCATTTTTGACTTTCCTCAGCTTGACCAATTCACCATCTTTACATTTTGTGCTCTTGTTCCCAACTTTATCATTTTGATGTGGTTGATAATTGTTATCAGAACACTCAGTGACATGATTTTGACCAACCCAACTTCCCACATCTTTTGAAAGTAAGATCAAACTCATAGCAACTTCCTCTTGTAGCTGATCATGTTCAATCTCAGAGATACAAGGAGAAGCATTATAAGCAACAGTTAAAGAAGAGGAAGTTGTAGTAGCCATGTACCTTTTCAACCTTCTTGTTGATCTCTTCTTCTTATTTGGTGCTGCTGTTTCAGTATCAGATTGACTATCCATAACTTGTTTCTGATTAGCATTAGCACTATTCCAAGAATCTTGTTCCACACTGTTATTTATTGATGAGATTCTCTCTGAGTGACACTTCATATGGCCAAATAAAGCTTTCCAAGATTGGAAGCTTTTGCCACATTCTTTGCATACTTTGTTCTTCTGATTTGGAAGCAAAGTATCTTCTTCACTTGACTCAGCAAATTTTGAAGTCTTCTTGGGATTCTCCCTCAGCACATAATTAGCACTTTGAGTACCTGCTTCAGTGCCCATATCCAAAATTGGAAGCATTTTTCTTGTAGTGTTTCCATCAGTTGAATTAATCATATGAGACCTCATATGACCACCTAATGATCTACCACTATTGAAACTTTTGTTGCAGAATTTGCATACATGTTTCAGTATTTCTTGATCTTCTCCCATTGAATTGAATCAAATCAAAATTCAAGAATCAAGAATCAGATCAGATGATCAAGAAAAAAAAGTCCAACTTTTACCTAGTCTTGTTCTTTTCAATCTCACAATGCAACTCTGGATGTAGAAATTATCCAAATTATGCTAGTAGCTCTCACAGTAGATAATATGAAGAAAATATCCAAATTATGTTGGTGATGAACAAGCTAAAAAAGAGAAAAGAAAACTTAAAAGAAAGAGAGCAGTTTTAGTACTTTCTCTTTCTTAAGTTTTTCTCTCTCTTAGAACAACACTATGTTTGGCGAATTGGAGGAGAAATCCATGCATGGAAGCAAAGATAAAAAGAAGTGGTAAAGGGAAAGATAGTAGTAGCACGTGTACTCAACTGACAATACTACGCCAACCCAAATCCAACGGCTGAGATTGATCCTCCTATTTAGCATCTCTATTGTGTTGAGCTGACAACCGAGCTTAGCTAGCTAATGCTCAAAATAACTTAGAACTGCTCTCAATAACTATTCTTTCCTTTGTCTTTGCTATTAAAGAAGCCCACAACTCAAAGTGAGACCAAAATTAAAAAATAAGAAAATTAAAGGTTCCACTCTTTGTCTTTGGCTGTTATTCTTTTAATCTTATGTTAAACTTATTTCTTTTCTATTTCTATTATTTTATGAGTTTAACTTCTTCCCCATATTCATGATCAAATATAATTCTTACATTGTCATAAAACAGTATAGCGATAACCTAAAAACTATCTACTATAACATGGTAATTCTACTACATATTTATGGTCTAATAAAATTCTTACACCGTCAAATCACAAATAACCTAAAAACTATCTATTATAACTTGTTAAATATATTAATAGTTCAAAAATCTTCCGGTGTCGTCAGTATATATAAGTTAAATTTCTCCTAAGACTTGTTCTATCCTTATTCTGGTCCTGCATGTCAGTTTCCAGTACTGTTGTTACTTCCTTGAAGGCATTTAATTATTTACTTATTAATCATAGGCCAACCCAAAAGAAATTCTTGAATTTAGCTTCAATTAGCATATAGTACTTGTATTGATTAGTATCATAAACTTAAGTTGTAGCACAAAGTTGACAGCAACGAGAGCTAATTAGATGAAGTGAGAAAAGTTGCCGGCCTTAATTAATTAGTTGTTAGCAGCTAAAGCCGGCTTTCATAGCACTAACCGCAACGTGAATATGTCTTAATATTAAGGACAAACTAATCACAATTTTGGGAGGTACGTGATGAAAGTTCCTTACCTTTTGTGCCTATTTTAGCCGGCAATATTAGTGCAACTTTAGCTGTGAACTTGTCTATTTATTCATTTTGATTTTTGCTAAGCAGTAGCACATTGCTCGGAGAGTAGTAGTTATACGTTTAAATATAAATATATAAATATATGTGTGTGATTACGAGGAACAGAAAGACCACCCTTTATTTCCTTCTCTACTTAAAACCGTAATAAACAAACATTTTTAAAAGATCAAACATGTGCTTGCACATTATTTTGTGCCTAACTTTGGCTTGTGAACTATACACAATACATGCACTATGATGATTGTGTGTGGCAAAATTGTCTTGTGATTGGCTGAAGAATCTTGGATATTAAAAGGCGAGTTCTTGACTAAATTTTAGTTTCTCTAGATTGATAGTTAGCATTGATTAATTAAAAACTCAGAAGAAAACACTGTTTGATAACTTGCGTTAAATGGTAAATAACCACAAATATGGCTGACATGTCATGGTGAAATTGTTTTAAAATTCAAATTTTGACTAATTCGTATGAAACACTGAAAAAATTAAGAGATATAGTAGTTTTTTGCTAAGTCATATGGTAACTACATAAAAGGAAGTGAAGTTCTTGATGTTTAACAAAAATAAAATAAAAAAAATTGAAATCATTGTGGAGCTATAGAAAGATAATAGTATTGCAGCTACTACTTATTTTACTCCCAATCAAAGATAGTTTAAATTGAGTGTGCTAAATCGCAGAACCGGATTCAAAATTTAAATTTTATGTGTTTAATCTTTAATATTTCTAGCATTGAACCTATATATTACAAAAATTATGAGTTTAAACCTATTCGTTTATAATTTTAATGACTTTTTATACATAAATTTATATTAAGTATTGAAAGTGATGGATTAAGATGAATTCGGTGTTAATATATGTTAGTATCCGCCTATGGTAACTAGTACTATGAAACATGCGCTAAATAGAATAACATTTTCTCATTGTTTTCCCCATTTCCTCTAGCTGACTTACTAGATACATAGCTGGTGAGAAAGCTGCTCAACCACTTCTCCTTAATTAAGGTGTTGCACCAAACCAACTGGTGTCAAGTGCATGTCCTATGAATCTACATGTTAATTTGATATCCTAATTGCATCTTGATAATTTTGACAAACAGATGCAAAATCTTGTAGAAATTAATTAGAATCTCCTACTTTGATGACCTTCTACCATGTGGCTCAATTTATTACTACATACCACTTGACTAGCTAGCTAGATAGCACTAAGATAGGTCATCTATACAACCACATTAAGGTTTTGTTAAGTATAAGAAATGAAAAGCCTGCTAATATACATAATGCAGCATCAGGAAAAGAAGACAATTGTAAAATGATTAAGCACATAAAGATATAGCATATGTTATTGCTCAAAGTGACTTCACTTGAGAGTGAAGAAGTCTTTTGGGTGTTTTGTTTTTCCAAAAGTGGATGCTATATATATATATATTGACAACTGACACTCTTCCAAGTAAAGTTAATTTGGCCACTCCTTGTCTTTCTCCCATACCCATGAGAAACATCAAGATGCCCTACTTTGTCTTTATGCTTGCTCAGTCAAGCTTGCTCATCTATCCTAGAAACCTTGTGCAGACAGAACTAGCTTATTAGGTGCGGGTTCGGTCGAACATATTAATTTTATTTAAATATTATATTTATAATTAAAAAATTCATTTTATATATATATATA